GGAAGTAAGGGAGAGACTGATAAAGAATTCAGGTAAAAAGACGGTTCAAATGTGGGTATCAGGGTTGTTGGGAACCTAATAAGGGCGGAAGTAGGTAATCACAGGGGTTTAATGGTTAGCCCTAACCCCAAGTACATGGGTAGAGCCATGGCGTAAGTTACCAAAGTCTAGATAAAGAACACATGTATGGGACATGTGATATCTAGCAAAATGGAAATATTCAGCCATCCAATGATCTGGAGACACCCAGAGCCAGGGTAAGCAAACTTCACAGGATGTGGCTTGAGATACAGATCAGGTTTCGGCAGCATTTTAAAAGGTAGCTTGAGATACAAACTTGGTGATGGCAGTATAACAGGTACTAGTTAGAAATTTGTAACCAATGATGTACTGAAAATCTTGTAAAAATAATGTATATTTGTGTACATTTCACTATAATGAGTAATAAAGAAGCAGCGTCGTTAAAAAAAAAAAATAATAATAATATTATTATTATATTATATATAAAAAAATTTTTAAAATTGCACTCTAATTTTAAATATATATTAATACCAACAACACTATAGATGCACAATATAATATCTAATTTTTTTATACTAATTTAAATTTTAATAAATCTAATAATTATATTACAATATATATTTTGGTTTATAAAATTAAATTATTAATTTTGTATAAAGCTTTTAAAATTAATATTAATATTAATCTAATTAATTTTTTGAAATTACATACAAAAAAAAAAAAGCATTTAAATAAACCTAATTTTTAACGAAAAATAAACTACATTGCTTATAATGCTATTGGTGCAAATTTATATAATTTATTAAAAGTACTGTTAAGATATTATGTATTACAAATAAGTAAATTTTATTACAAAGAAATTTTCCTTATAATTATACGCACATATGTAAATCATTTATGGGGATAAGATATTATAAACAAACATAAATCGCCTACTCTAGAGCTTTTCGTCAAGATTACTTTTGGTAATACAAGGCTTTTTTAAAAAATTTCCATATTTTTGGAATCTATACGTAAGCAAATTTAACTATGATTGACGGATGGTGTAAGAATAAGCATAATTATAGACATAATTATAGACATAATTATAGTCACTGCTATAGGTGCAGAAATATTTATGTAACTGGTATATCCCATTGTAAAGACGTGTCAACTCGTCTTTACAATGGATATAATCCAGTGACGTAAATATTTCTGCACCTATAGTAACGGCTAATGCTAAATTTAAAAGTTTTTTTTTTTTAGGGTTTGAACTTAATAGGTTTAAATTTATGAATGGAAACCTAAATTCCTGCATTAGCTGCGACAATTATTTAAGTTTAATAAATTTCTGTGAATGCGATAGTATGATGGGCAGCAATTAAAACTTCGTTTAACGTAATCAATTAATATGATGTACGGAAATTTTCGGCAGGATAGTCAATTAATATAAAAATACGAGCATAGCAGACATATAGTTGAAAAAAAAAAAAGTTTCAAACCTTCATAAGCATACTGCAGCAACTGCTTAATCAAATTAATAATGATTATTATAATAACATAAATCACATGTTTACCGATTTATCGTTATTATCTAATCTTGTGTGATAAGATAGATAATGAATTGCATCATGCTCATGCGTAGGAAGTGCGTAATAATTGTGGCTAATATCAGCTAGAATAGATGATACCAGATCTTTTCACGATCAAACATTGTTAATGTGTTAGGCAATTGTTTACACATGTTTACTATGCCATGTGTAGTATCCACGTGAGCACAGTATTAATTAATGAAATGAAGACAATGCAAATATACGTGTATATGCATATATAACGAATTAAATGCATAATTTATTATTGAAAAGGGGCGGATAATCTTTGTTCCAATCTGAAACACTAACTCCACTTCATTCAGAAAAAGATCTGTCTCGACAAAATAACAAGGAATAGAGGCAATCTTATTTTGACATTGCATCTTTCGTTTAATTACATTGCATTAAAATACAAACTTGTGCCACATGTTATTATATTGTTACTACATTGGATCATCGCGTGCTTTAATGCAAACATTTAAAAAGATATTTATTAATCCTTATCGCAGATCAATACTTTTGATACTACAAATTGATATTACATAATAAGGTAATAAAATCGAATCTTCGAAGAAATTATGAGTACAATATATAAACAAAAATAAATTGTAATTATATGAATTGAATTTTTAATTAAAAAAATAAGATGAATGAAAAAACTGGTTTAAATCCTGCTAAATTTTATAGATAATGATCCAATCAACCCATAAAAACGGAATGTAACAGATTCAAGAAACCAATAAAATTTCAATAAAATTTTTATTGGTTCAAAAAAAGATAAAAAGTTTTAAAAGTTTACCCATTATTTCCGATAGACCATATAGACCATTATAGTTTTTCATAGTGTATCGGTATACTGTACGTAATATTTATAATATTTAATATTTAAAATCAACAAATCCAAAAAACGGCGTAAAAAGGGGTTAAGAAATTTGGCGTCAAGATATTTATAAAAAAATAAAAAATAAAAAATAAATCCAGAGAACAAAACATAAAGATTACTTTAAAAAGTAATCCCTTAGGAATATCTTTTGTTACAATTTTAAGCCATATTCACTTATTATAGAATACATCATTTGCGCCTCAGGGTGTTCCAAAGTAACATAATTTGGTTCATACGTACCAGGAATAGCAATAGATAACAAATACATTCGGGCTAAGGCGACAAATCGCAATTATATTTTAATAAAATTCCAGTCAAAAAAAAAATATTGGATCTAATATCGGAAAAAGGTAAAATCTGCATGCACGCCTCACCTGCAGTGAAATTAAAGATTTAATCGTTGGATCATCACTGGCATAATAGTAATATCTTAGTTATTTTCTGCAATTAATATTAATGGTTACATATAATTAAGGTTTGCGTCACCTGACATCCTAATAAATGCTACGTATTCAAATATCAAGATTACCAAAGATATACTTTTTTATGTTATACGTTTTTCCGAAAATTCCTTTTTAGAAAATAGATAATTCCGATTGAGGAAAACAGGTTAAAAAAAATTATTACAGTATTTTACAGTATTAGAAACTTGCTATCAACTTGAAAAAAAAACTTTGGATGATGTTTTTCCGATATTCTAGATCATAGTATATATTAGTATTAGAGAATTCTTAGCATTATTATCATTAATTATTATTATTATTATTATTATTATTATTATTATTATTATTATTATTATTATTAATTATTATTAATTATTAATTATTATTATCAATTTTTATCATTTATTTTATCATTTGTTTTTATCATTTATTTTTATTATTAGCATTTATTATTATTTTATTTGTTATTTTTATATTACGTCATAAAAACAGGTTAAATCAATGATAATACGCATATAGAACTGTTTATCCGACAAATATAGGAAATCTTTTCTCACGTTTTTTTTTTCAAATAAAAAAAAACTTTTAAGTTCAGAAAATCCAGACTGCAAAAACCTCGAATATTCGATGAAATAATATGATTGGTTTACATCATTTGATACATGCATATAAATCAAAGAATAAGCAGATGCTTTTTAGATTGTTGTGAATTAAATAGATAAATTAATGTATATCGCACTACCTAATTACCAAACCAATAAATAAAAGGGCATGGTATTGATGAAATTTGATGTTGGTTGCGCCAATGCACAAACAAACAAGAAATGTTCGGGTGACGGCCTAACGATATCTCATTTACTGCCGGCTTATCTGCTTTGCACGATAAACAAAATAAATTAATCGTGTCACACAGGGATTCCACTAAACCTTTCCCTGAATCCCACGCGCATTGAGTGAAGAGATTTGCTTTGCATTTAAAATTCCATAGATGATATAAAATTTGTTTTTTTTTATACCTCCAAAACCAAGGTAACATAATTGACGTAACGAGTTGAAAAAAAAAAAATTTATTTTTTATTGTTTACGGTAGGTCAAATAATATTCATTGCATCATATTGTTACATTTTCAGTTTCCCCATGTTTATCGTTTTTTTTTTCACCAATAAAATATTTTCTATTTCTTTATGTTTAAAAAAAAATTTTTTTATTAGAATTATTATTTGTTTGCTTAATCCTGTCATTCATCAAAAGAAAGTGGGGTCGGAAGAATATGTTATGCATCACACAAATATACAATAATTGAACCTTTTGCTTACCATTTTTTTTTTAATTCCTGCTCTTTGGTTAAAGTTTACAATTAGTCCGATTCAAGTCCGAATATTCTCTGGAAAAATATGAACTTTATCTTGTTACACGAGCCACGCGAACTAAATATTTCAACTCCGTGATACCGACTAAAAATTTTATTATATAATCTAACTCGTGGCCCAACTCTAGAACCGTTTAGTCCAGTAAGCTTCTTTTTTTTTTTTTTATCTGCAAAATTCGGAAAATGGTTGGAATAATTACGAAAATTTTTTAATCTTAATATTTACTACAAACAAGGGACTAAGTTTTGGCGATAAACATTGTCTCACATAAACATATTAATCAAATATAGGAATTAGCAGAAAAACATGTTTGGTTCTTGGTTTGGTTACACTACTTTTGTATTCAATTTTTCTAATCCTTTTGATTAACATTAATACAAAAATCTTGATTTCTTTATTTACACTGTCCAAAATTTTTGCACTGCTCAACCAATTTTCATTTCCCTTTTTCGTTTACTGGTTTTCATTCTCTGCCTCCACCAGTTTTAGTAGTATTTATTGAAATCTAATATTTATTTTTTAAGTATCGGCAAAACCCATTGCTTTGGTACACAGTGTTATGTCACTGTCACGCTATTTCCATTAAAATAAAATATAAGATACCTTAAAATATCTCATTTGTTAGAGCGTTCGTTTTTCTTTTAGATTATTATTATTATTATTATTTTATTATTTTATTTTATTATTATTATTATTTTATTGATGAATCGAGATGAATCGAACAAAAGTCACCGTAGCGTGCCAGGCGTGTCAAAAGAAAAAGGTCAAATGTACTGGTGTCGCTCCCTGCACTAACTGTAATAGAACTGGTCATCAATGCGAATTTACTGGCACCGCTAAAAAACGTGGACCTAGAAATGGTACTGTCGAGGTGATCAAAAGTTCGGCTAGTAGAATTGAGAATGTTTTGGAAAAAGATCCAAGTTTACGACCTCAAATTGAACAAATGATGAAACGTAGCTCCTCGGTCCGTTCTTCGAGATCTCCTTATGGTGCTTCCCTTAACTCAATAATGATTGTTGATAATGATCATAGAATGGATACTACTTCTAGATCTCATAGTATTCATAATATCCCTAGAAATTTTCCATACCCTACTCCAACGTTAATGCGACCTGTTCCGAAGTATCCCTTAAACATGAGAAATAATCATGTGACTAATGGAAATGGAATTTCAAATTCACAATTACCTGATCATCATCATCAATTTTCCGCAAGTACAAATTCGTCGCATCATATTAATTCCGTCGCAATTCCACAATCATTACCGCCGATCGCCACGTTAGAAACTTCTCCGCTTGTGGAATGCACTTCCGTACAATCAAATACACAACTTAAACATAGAGCGTTGTTGCCCGGCACGTTGTCCGACGTTCCACTGTCTCGCCAAACAAATGCAAATCCTTTACCACCTTTGTTGCAATCATTAGGTGAAGATTCTATGAAATTACCAATTCCTTGGATGGGACAACAACCAAAAAAATCCATGTCAATGCCGATTCTCGGAAATTCTGCGGGCATTAAATTATTACTTTCACCAGCACCTGATTTGGGGAATCCTCTCGATAATAATCGTCATTTAAAATCTCAATGTTCTACTGAACATTCATCGGCCTCTTATGATACTTTAAATTCTAACAAAGCACTTTCACCGACAAGAACATTACCTTCTCCACCATCGTTCTCGCCTCCTGAATCAACTTCTCCAAAATCTCTCAATTATTACGACGAAAAAAATGTCGGTAATAAAAGTTTACAATCACTAGCTTTGTCACCGCCCTCATCTCCGTCTACATTTACACCGTACGTTGAATCAAATTCGTCATGTCTTTTATATCAACCAGTGAGGTGGAATAATAACGAACTTGACGCGTATAAACATAATGAACGAGTAAATATTGAACGAGGTAATAACATGAACGTGAATCAAGTTTATTCAAGGAATTTTAATCACCTTATGCTACAATCATAATCGATGACGGCTATTTTTTTTTACGAAATCATAAGTTTTATTAATCATTTAATATAAATAAGATCAAAAAATAATCCGGAACATGACAAAAAAAACCTCACCTTAAAATTTCCAAAATTAAAAAAATTACATAAAACTAAATAAAATTAAAAATAGATCTTGTCATGATTTCCTTACCAACACATTATGATAGTATGTTTCTTTTCTTTAGAATTTCTTTTTTTTTATCTCTCTCTTTAATTATGCTTTAATTTTTAATATTAAGTCAAACAAACAAAAAATCCGATAGAATTTTATTTTTTCTTTTTTTGAGTTCTAATTTAAGCAACAACAACAACCAAAAAAAAAAAAAAAAAGAATTACATATATACGTATATGAAACTTCGTTATACAAAAAAATACTTTCGCGTTATTCCTTCCTCAACATCTCTCTCTTTTTTTTTTTTTTTTTTTTTGCATTTCTGAATTAAATTGGCAAGAATTGGTTTAATCAATCGTCGTCGTAAAAAAAAGTGATTGAATACAAATTATTATATTAGTTATATGTAAGTAAAAAAAATCCCGTTTTTAGAAAATGATAATAATAAAATCACTTTACTCTAATGATAATGTGTCATTTTTCATGTGACAATTATCGCGAAAAAAAATACATCTATGTACATAAAAAATTCTGATTTTCATCGAACTACAATACTAAAAAAATATTTATAGAGATAATATAAAATTCAGTGAAGTTAAAAATCATAATACATTTATGATAAGATTCCTCTTAATAGATTATACAGTATTTTTCAATAAAGACGTGCTAGAAAAAAACCATTATCATATCATAATCGACGAATCATTATCATTATGCGTTATATTCATATTCATACTCATATTCATATAAATCATAAATCGCTGCTAATTTTTGATGCAAAAGATCTCAGAATACATATATAGTCAAAAGAAGTTTAACATGTTTATTTTTTTCAAAGAGCATTAGTTAAAGAAACAATATTTAATCGTCAAATCATAAAACGAACATAAACACAACACAATCAAGTCTCTCTAAATGCAACCCTCAAATGCAATATCTTTCTAAATGCAACCTTTCTTATTGTTCTTTAAATGCAAGCTGACAAAAGTTTTGTCTTTTTGATGAAAAATGAGCATCAATTTTGTAAAAATCTGAATGTTTTTTCATTAAACAAAATGAAAAATGTGCTGATGATAATAGAGATAGTCACCCTTATTCTTCTACTTATTCTAATCTCCATACGCAATAAAAGCTCAATCTGAAGATCATAATATTGTAGTTATGAAAATATTAAAAGAGTATTGTAAAGATTGTAATGAATGTTGTGCTGATGTTGCGTCGACAGAAAGTGCTATAGACATTCCTATAGGTAATCCTATTGTTGCGATACCTGCGGTTCCAGCTAAAATGGATCTAATTTGATTGGTTTGCATCTTTTGATTTGAATCCAATTGAAATCGAAATGAGATCGATCGAGTTCGAAATAAAATTGGGGAACCAATCGGATTGATCAAAGTAAAATAGAACCAATCGAATTTGAAATTGGATGAGTTTTTTTAAAAACCAAATATTTAATAATAAAAAAAAAAAACTTTCACAAAAAATGATATCATTCTAATTTTTAATTTTAAGGTCGTTTAACCGGAAAAAAATTTGTTATTTGTATGCATTATTACTGTATTATGTAATTAGACTATTGCACTCTTATCGTTATACACAAATAAAAAAAAAACATGAAAATTGTCATTGTGTGTTATCAAAGTCTTTTCACAAGTACACAATATAGTTTAGCTAGTTTTGGATTTTTGTGTGCTAATAGAAAGCACAAATCATGAACTAGATATATAAAACGTTTAGCAGGCATTTTAACCAACGCGACCACTATCATTATATGCGTTATCAGTTTATAACGTTTTATATAAAACTCTGAAATGGACTATATTATCTCTTAAACCGTAGCAATTTCAGGCAAATTTGTTTAATAAGGCCACGCAGAGAAAATTTTTTTTGTTTCTCATAACCCGGCTAGGCCATTGAGACTTAATAAATTTAAATTTTATGAGACGCAGTATAAAATTAACCAATCGCAATCGTCCAAATTTGACAAACAATTTGTTAATATACTCATGTCTTTGGCACAGGTAAGTTTTGTATATTAATGGCTATACAATACAGGAATGATAATGACCTGGTCATTTACTCAAAATTTAAATGATGGGTCATTTGGGTCATAATATAAAAGTTATCGAACAATGATCGTAGCTACGCTAGTGATTGGACCCGGTAGGTGCCAACCGGGGACTGCACCAGGGCGTAGGATCGATTTTACTGTCACATGATTTCTGACGTCTATCAGCTAATTAAAATTCAGGATCATGTATAACGTAAAAACATCAAAACAAACGTTTGCTTTACAAAAAACACATTTATCTCGAAATTTAGTCTAGTAAACTATCTTTGAAGATCTAATAAAAAAAAATTCCTTGTGCAATTTTACTATATAACTGCTCTTATAATCCTCCCAAACTCTAACCCGGGCATAAACAAAGTTTTTTAGATTTGACGAAATTTGTTTTCCGACTATCACGTGACAGTAAAATCGACCCTACGCCCTGGTGTTGCCGGGTCACCCGCGGGCAGGGTTGGCACATTTATCCATTGAGGCGAATGGATAACAACTCCATTGACATTGCTCCATTGCTCCATTGAGAATTATTTCTGAATGGAGCCAATGGAAGCCAACCAACTCCATTGATATTACTCTATTGGGTACGATTTCTGAATGGAGTCCAACAACTTCATTAAATAAGATGCAAGATATTTGGGGATGTGTTAATTAAAACAAGGCTTATGGCATTTTTTACAAAATCAAGTTAGCTATACCATTATATAGAGTAGACGTTTTTCTATATAATTTGACATTTAAAAGCATCGATTTGCATAATAAATTTTTGTCGATGCCTACTTTTTGAAATGCTGTATATGATTAAACATGATCTAAAATTAGAATTTGGTTATCTGGTTGTCGATCACTGCTACAGAGTCATAGAAAAGGACTCATGTGATTGGCTAGCATATGTCGATCAAACAGGTTATACTAATAATAGATTGCCATTGTTATTGTTACACCCAATTTTAAATGTGATTTTCTCTAAATAGAAAAAATGCTATAACCATTTTGTTATATCAAAAAAATTTTTTTAAATAGCAAAAAATAAACAGAAGTTTATCATTCCGGCTAACAAATTTTTGGTTTAAACCATCCTTTTTTTTAGCGCTAACTTACCAAAACTTTATAATTGCCTCTCAAAATCACAGATAAACCTGATGATTAGTTTATTAATAAGCTACATATTGTTCAATTATTATTATAGGTCAAATAATTAAACAGATTATAAACAGAGACAATAGAATATATCAGAGTACAAATAATAACTTTTGTTCTAAAGAGTATCGAACATATAATAAACAATTAATTCTCAACAAATTTCTAAATGGTCTAAAAAGATAGCAGCTTTATTTTTAATGTTTGAAGCTTTTAAAATAAATTATCAATATATTAATATCAGTGCAATAAATACAACAATCTTTTACCGTTTAACCAAACCAACCATAATGAATACTATTATTACATTTTTCACTTATTTAGTTTAATATTTTCTCAGTAAAGAAGGCTTAAAACTGAAAGGTTTGGGTAGATGCTTTTTTATATTTGAAGGATAGTAAAGACATTTAAATTGTTAAAATCATTAAAAAGAGGATCCAATATAATTAAAGCTGAAACTTTAATGGTTAATCAAAGAAAATTTTTCATTTTTTTTAGATAGTATAGTGTGATAGTAGTGATCGGTTCTCCAATGAAAGCTGAGTTCTGCAATACGTGATAAGGGAGTGACGATAAGGGGGGGAATCAGAATAAAGAAAGTATAAAAAAAAAAAAAAAGAAGAGAATAAAGTTTCACATTCAAACTATTTTTTTAAGACCACATGGGTGGATTATGGGAAGTTGATAGTCTATATATTACTAATGAATTAACAATGACGAAATACTATATGATCAAACTATTATGTAATTAAGATCGAGTTGACTATCGGAGATAAGGTATAATGTAATTAATTTAAGAGTTAAATCATGTATATAAGAAAATAGAAAATTAAGTAGAAGGCTTGGCTTCTAGACCTCAAGAAAAATAAAGAATAAATTAAAACAGGGTTACTTATTTTCGCTGACAATAGAAAAGTACAAACTATTATTTGTTTGCTCATAAAATAATAAAATAAATACACCAATACTTTCTCCAAGCAAATGTTATAATCATAGAAGATCCTATTACTTTCAAACTTCTTCTATAGGTAGTTGCTAAAGACCACCACATATAGTGAATATTATAAAAAACAAAAAAACATCTAATTTTATAATCATCATCAATTGTACTTGAGCATCATCATGATTATTGTTTGATTAATTGTTTTAGCTGCTTGAGAGTAGCCTTAATCAATTAACTTAAAGCCAGCAATTATGATATAACTTGTGTACTTAAATAATGATTTTAAATATCTTAGAAGAATAACTTTAAGTAAATTTATTAGTCTATTAAAAGGAACTCGCTTGATCACATTTTCATAATTTGTAGTATTAAGTTAAAATACTTTAATCTTATTTCCACTAGAATACATCTTTCAGTATTTAATACTAAAAGATATATTTCAATAAGTTTTCTATCTTTATATAATCTGTTAGTTTACTTCATAGAATTGACATAATGCAGTTTACAAAAAAACATAAAATAAGTGGTTATAATCAGTTTAAAAGTCATTAAATATTTAAAAAGCATTTAACACATAATAGATAACCAAAAAATAATAGCTTATTGATAACAGACTCTAGTTGAGATAAGTATAGTAAATTGCCACTTTACCAAATAAACATCAAAATTTGCCTCCATTACAAAATACATATGACTCAAAAATAATTTGTAATAAATTATAGATATCAAGCAAAGTAATTTATAATATATATATATATATATTGAAAGTTCTAATGTACTTAATAAAAATGAATGAATATATAATATAATATAGTGTAAAAAATTTTTATTGCAATTCTAAAAGATATGGTGGGGTTGGAAGATTTTAAATAAACTACAAAGGCTCCACTTTGCATCATTATTAATTGACAGATGATCAGTTATCACATTAACCACAATTTGATTTGAAACTATTGCATTTTCATCAATTTCTAACTCATACAGATCTGGTTGGTCTCATTCTTCTTCACTTTGTGCATGTTTATCATCATTAATCATATCAATCTATTTTAATACTATTTCATTTCATTCTTTTTTATTCATAAGAATATTATTCTTTTCTAATTCTGATGTCTGAATTTCTTCATCATCTTCAGAATCACTTACAATAATCATATCATCTTGATTAGTTTGTATCGATGTTCCAGTATTATTAGACTTGAATAGTAGTAGAAAATTTTCTTGATATTTTTTAATTGAGTTTTCAATAGCCTTTAAATTGTTACAATAATTCATTGCAGCATGCAACTGACTAATTTGTAATACTTTCTTGGGCTTTAAATAAAATTAGTAATTTTAAAATAATTAATTAATTATGTAACAGTTTATTTATATTTTATCATCAAGCATCACAGATTTGTTGATAATATTATGCATAATTGCGGCTATGTTGCAATCATATATAATAATCGTGATGTCAAGAACATAATAAAATAATAATAATATATATCATTAAATGGTTGCAATATTTATTATAATACCAACCCATGCATAAAAAAAGTCTTTCAACACATGCAGAATTTACACAAATTAAAAAAATTCAACATGCAACTTTGCTTAATTCTTTTGCTGAGTTAGAGTAAAATTCCTAATATTCTAAAATATCATTTGCAAATTAATTTGCAGCACATAAAGTAAATGGCTTTTGTTGTTTACAAAATTTTTCAAGCTCAGGAAGTAATGTTCTTGGTTCTGCTTAAAACCATGTATAGTAATACTAGCAAATCCAATCACTAAGCTGTATATATAATTCTTCATTATTATTTTCAAACATTTCTATATGGTATTCTGGATGAAGAAGAAAAGCAAGTAAAAGTAATAGTTGCTCTCAAGATTTCCATTGTGCTTCTAAACTATTAATCATTTTAGTTGCAAATTCTTGATTAAAATATGTCTTATAAAATTTAATAAAATATGCAAATCTGTGAAGAACTTCATATGTTTTGTTGTAATTTATTTAAAATTGTACAATATGGTAACAAAATATCTACAAGATTATTAATCATAATCTATTATTGTTCATTATTAATAATATTACAAATTTTTATAGGCAATAATAATATATTTTGTATATCACCAGTTGATGAAAATTTGAATTTAGCTACAAGAGTCTAAAATTACAATTTATTAGTATTATTTTTTATATTAAAAATATATTTAATTAATATTAATAAAATTATCTTCAAAGCTGCTTTAGTTTTTAATAAGCTTGAAAAGCAATAAAAATAACTATTCTAGCAAGTTTTAATGAGGCTAGTAAGTGCAATATACTTTTTATATATCAAATACTGTTCATTATGAAGTTGTTTTATAAAATATAAATGATTTGCAGTATTAAAATAAAATACGATAGTAATAGCCAATTTTGAAGCATTATTAAATTTAGAAGATTCTTTAAAAATTTTTTTAATATATAAATTAAGTTGATAGCAAAACATAGTAAAAAAATCTTATTTGTATATTTTAATTGTAATCATCATCTATTAAATAAAATAATATTAATATTAATAAATTAAAGATTCTAACTTAAAATTTTATAACTTACTTTGCTGCAGCATATATAGAAGTATTATCAGTTACAAGATCAATAATTTGAATATTTTCTGCTTCGAATATATTAAAAAAAGTTTCTATCATATTTATTAGGCCATGCAAAATTAATTAAATAGTTTTCATAACCCGGCCGGGTCAAAATTTGAAAATTTCAAAAAAAAAATTTTTATATGTTTTAATAACCGGGTGGGTTTTAAAAAAAAAATTAATATAAATTTTGTAAAATTTTATATATGAAATTTAAAAAAAAAAGCCGGCTGGCCGGGTCTATTTAAAAGTTTCATGTTATGAAAACCAAGTAATCAAATTTGTATGGCCTTATATTTTCTTACTTTTTTTGTTTATTGCTAATATTTTTAGCTTTCTAAATTAGTAATTCACCTTTTGCTGTAACAAGAATAGATCCTAAAATCTTTTGTTTAGCAATATTTTTCTATTTATCAAGCACTAGTAAGCTGTATCTTTTAAAATTTGACTAGCAAGCTGTTTATAGTTAGACAAAACAAGACTTGGGTTAAGCTAGCATGGCAGACATTCGATTTAATTGGCTTGTAGATCTCTGAGTTACACAACATAAATAAAAATTTTTAAAGTAACCCTTACTATGAAAAACCATATTGTCAATTAGCAACCTGTGGTTTTATATAATAATTTTTTTTAAAACCATCTTAAAGTATTTTTACCTCTTCGTATGTCTTTAGTGAAAAAAGATTAGTATAGATCATTATTACTAAAGACTTTACTTAGAGAGCAAAATCAGTAAGTAATATGGTAATACAGTATGTAACGAATATATTATTCGTTATACTATATATATATATACTTTTTTTTTTTGCAACTAGAGACGTGGTGTACTTCACCAACTGACAGCATTCAGGTCCAAATATTCCCTTGAGCAAAAAAAAAAACTTAAATTACTCTATGTACATCAGTATCAAATACGTACATACGTATGTATGTTAAATACAGAAAATAAAGATTTACTATTTATATTAAATTTTTTAAATTTATATTATTGTAGATTTCTCCTTTACAAGCATGCAAGAACACAGTGGACAATTGAAAATAAAAATATTGATGATTGCATAAAAGCATTTCAACTTAGAGTCTGATGTGATTGAGTGGATTTCTATCAATGTTAAAAAAATTGGTGAAGAAGGATTTGGTTCTGTATATTCAGCAACCTGGTCGGATAGTATACGAAAAGTTGATAAAATTGATGATAGTGATAGCTATATCTACAAAAGAGCATGTGAGCCATCCAGCACCATTACACTCAAGACGTTGGCCAGTTCTGAGGAAAGCAATTATTTTTAAAAAAAGTAAGTTAATTTATTGTTTTAATAATTTAGTTTATCTAATAGTTTATTGAGCTAATTCATTGTTTAAACTTTAAGGTTAAAAGTCTTATTACATATAAATTAAATTATAGTAGTCTTGCAATATATAGAATAATCCAAAACACAGAAACAAAAAATTACTTGATGGTCTTTCAGTATACTGATAATGGAAGTCTTCATTACTTAAGAAAAAATTTTATTAGTCTTACATGGCAGACTAAATTACAAATACTTAAAAATACTGCGTATGAGTTATATAATATTTATGTATATCCATGCAGATTTTACTGTGGTAATATTTTGCACTAATGAAAATACACAATTCATATTACAGATCTGGGATTGTTTAAAAAAGTAGATGAAAAAGTTTCAACTAGCGAAATTTATAGAGTTATGCCTTAGACGATAAGCCGTTTACACAGGCAGCAGATATTTATCCCTTAAATTGTAACACAGGCAAATTTGCCTGCGAAGATTTTTACTAATTTTTTTAATATTTAAATTTTTTA